AATTCTTAATTTGTCTACTTTGAATGTATAGCTGAATACATACGAGTTTGGTGCAGCAGGGGCTCTAGTTTTTGCTTCTAAATGCAGGGCTAAAAATAGATGAAATTATTGTCAATAGCATCAGTTCAATTTGATTTTTAAATGACGGCCCCAAACAGGATTCTGACTTCATTTCTTCCCCTTCTCCTCATTTAACTTTTATTCTCGTATCGCAGAGGTTACTCATAGCCAGCTAGCCAAATGAAAAGTACAGCTTGATTGAGGATCTCTTTTGTCAGTAATTTGTACCTAATGTTTTTAGCTTTCCCATAGGCTGTTGTTAAAAAATGGTAAATCTGGTTTAAATAAAACCTGATCCTGTTAATGGTTTAATAGCAGCTGCCACAGGGTTATGACATTTTTCAACAGATGCCTCTGCTTCATTTTATACCTAAACTAAGTCTTGGAATATTTACACAAATCATATACAATATACCTACACATTTTTTTTGTTTAAAATTGTTTAAGTTTAAAAATAGTCTAAGTCCCGATCTTTGTCTGTTTATAATTATCCACACAAAATTTTTTTAAAAAATCCAAGGCTATAATATATTTTTTTAAAAAAGATTATTCATGTCTTGCATTTCTTTAAAAAAGTTTTTTTAAGGCTGTGGAATGGGCTCCATCTCTACATCTGGGGACTTGAACAGGGCTTGGCCATTCTGATTATTTCACCCATCTTTACACTCAGTGCTATTTATTTAGCATGGACAACTTGCTTATACAGCATGTGTTTTATTGTGTCAACTGAAATAAACAGAAGAAATCACAAAATTAAATGGGACTTTACTTTTTCTTCAAGAGGTGGACTTTGCAATAATAATTCAAGATATCATTATGGGTAGGATAATTTGCAGTAATTTGTTTAACCACTTTTTAAAAAGCATTTGTTCTGTGCAATGCAGATGTGCTGGGTAAGTGAAGGATACAAAAATGAATGGCAGGCATTCAAAACAATGACTATGATGGAAGGTAGGAATAGTTATACAGTAGAGGTGCCAGCTCCATCGAAGAGGAATGAAATCACCACTGTGTAAGTTAGCATGTTACAAACTTGATTTCTAAAGCATATAAAGTTTAGAATCTTGAACTGGCAGGGTCAAATTTGTGTCGGTCACATTTTCATGGTTGCTGACTTACCTGGGGCTGAAAGAATTGTTTATGTAAATACATCCAATGGTGAGTTTTCAAGGGCAAACAACAGGAGTATAGAGCAATGTGTTACTTAATTCTAAATTGTCTATAGGCATCACTGAATGTAACGTGTTTCTAAAACCAAAAGCATCCCAATCTTCTCTTGTCTTAATAATTTTCATAGGTGCTCCCTCAGAAGGAAACTGTGAAACCTGGCATGGCTTTCTTGTTTGAACTCTTCCTCCTTCGTGGAACACACACTTGCCTGGACCGGGTTGTGGGCTGGGCAGTGTTCCCTTTGTGTGACAACAACTTTGATATAGTGGAGGGAAAATTCAAGTGTCCCCTTCTCCGAGGACATTATGACCAGAAGCTTAGCAACTTCAGGAAAATTGAAGATTTGATTTGTCTGGACTTGGACAACTGGCTGTGCAATCTCTATTTTCAGGTTTGTGGTGTGAGTTTTTAAGTGGCAAGGAATTAAAATGTTTTCTAAAGCTGCTTCTTTCTAGCCTGGAAAATTTAATAAGTGTCATAGAATGGTGAAAGTTATTACATCTTAATGCTGATTTCTGATAATGCAGATTAAATAGATATTTAGAAACAAGGGATAAAATTAGAGAATTAGTTGGAAATTTGAAGATCATTTAATAAAATCTTATATTGTGAATGAGCCAGAGCTGGCACCCAAGTTTCAGTTCACAATCTATCACTGCTAGGGTGGAGGGTGCAGCTTCATCTCATAAATATGGGAATGGAGCTCTGGTAAGTTTCCTTATCAAGGTGAATCACTTGAGGCCAGGAGTTCAAGACCAAAGTGGCCAACATGGTGAAACCCCTTCTCTACTAAAAAAAATACAAAAACTAGCCAGGTGTGCTGGCGCGCACCCGGAGTCTCAGCTATTTAAAAGGCATAGGCAGGAGAATCGCTTGAACCCAGGAGGCAGAGTTTGCAGTGAGCTGAGATTTTGCCACTGCACTCCAGCCTGAGCAATAGAGCGAGACTGTCTCAAAAAAAAAAAAAAAGTGTTTACTGAGCTTCTATTGTGCGTTGGGTGTTGCCTGCTCTAGGGATGCAAAAAGGATAAGCATTTCAGCATATTTGTAGTGTGTCCAAACTTATTTTTTCCCAAACTTATTTTTCCTGATTCTGATGTTTTTCCAGGTTGTTTGTGTCATATAATGCCATAAATTATTCTTTACCTTCATGTTTGATGTTTTCTTTATATCTATGTGTCTGTGTATCTGTTCGTTGTTTGTTTACCTACCTATCTACTTACCTACTTGATAGAACTATTAAATTGGGTGTTCTCAGGAAGCACATGCAATTTCATCCTTAAAATCAGCAGCTATATATTCTTGTGTAATGGTCTTCCTGTTTCTTATTTGCTTTGAGTAGAATTACCTGGCATTTTTTCTTATCTAATTCCATTATAATGTTTTGCTGAAATATCGTCTTGGGGCGGCATAGGTATGCTATTAATAAAATGACGATCATATGAATACGTGCCTGTTTATTCATTCTGGAAAGTGTCATCCTAAGATAAATCTGATTGCACACTAGAATTCTATGGGAAGTTTTAGAAACACTATTGTCTAGGTTCTAGTCTCAGAGACTTTGATTTAGTTGTTTTGTGGTGAGGTGTTAGGCATCAGAAGCTTTTAAAAACTTCTAAGAATCAGAAACACTGATATGAATAAACTTGAAAAAGAAAACTATTATAAATTAACATAAAAAGGTTATTGAAAAATTATCTAAAGGTTGAAGATAACTATAGAAAATCCCTAAGAAAATATTTTAGAAATTGGTGATTTGATTCTATACCAAGAGTCAAAATAAATATAGCCATAAGAAAGTAAATTTTGGGTGGGGTGCCGTGGCTCACGCTTGTAATCCCAGCTGAGGAGGATGGATCACCTGAGGTCAGGAGTTTGAGATCAACTTGGCCAACAGAGTGAAACCCTGTCTCTACTAAAGATACAAAAATTAGCCAGGCATGGTGGCAGGTGCTGTAATCCCAGCTGCTAGGGAGGCTGAGGCAGGAGAATCACTTGAACCCAGGAAGTGGAGGTTGCAGTGAGCTGAGATCACACCATTGCACTCCAGTTTGGCAACAAGAGCGAAACCGCGTCTAAAAAAAAGTTAATTGGTCTCGCTAATGTGGAAGACATCTAATTATTAACTAACTTTTCCACTAACTATTCAAAAATTCAGTGTTCTATAAATTATGGGATGGAAAGTTGGAATCCACTTTGTTTTATAAAAGACAATTTATGTAGTGCTATTATTCATCATAAAAACTGTTTATATTTGAGGTTAAATTAGAAGTAGTGTTTAAAATTTGCAAGGTCAAGTAAAGTGGGTAGTTTATAGCAGCATTAGAATAATTTAGTTTGACTAAAAATTACTTGAATTTGAACATATTACTAAAATTTTTTCTCATTTTTTCCTGACTTTCTATTAAAAAATACTTTGTAGAGAAAAAAAAGAAATATTACAATTTATCTCCAGAGCCCAGCTGGCATTATCCACTAGAGATGAATGTAATTGTCCACTAACATTCTTATTTGATAGATAATAAAAATAATTTTCTCTTTCCTGAACATTTCATGAGGAAGCAAGTCTTATTAATAAGAATAGTAACATGCAAGATGCATGATTTTCTGATTATAGGCAGAATTAATAGGCATGTAGATGCTTCTCTGTCATAAGGACAAAAACAAAAAGCTTATTTTCTGGAAATCCCATTTTCCTCCTATGTGACATTCTAAAATATGTAGATTTTTCCAATATAAGTTTTCTTAAATGCAAACACACATTTTTGAACAAGTTAATCCTGAATTTACTGAAAAAAGAACAAGCTGGATTGGGAAGAGCAAAGAGAGGCTAATGCAGATGATGGAACAGAAAAGTATTTTTTGCAATGCCCTGTTAGAAGAGGAAAAGGAAACAAGTCGGTCCAGGTGAAATCTGAACATGTCTCTCCTGGCTCAGTCAGTGTGAAGGAACTGCCACTGTCAAAGAGGAGCTGGCTGAGCCAGGGCACGTTGGCTTAGCCATGACCTCACGTGTTCTCTCGTGGTGTCCTTAGGGATAGTACTGGGACTAATAGCCCTGAGCATCCCAGAGGAGGCTGGCCTACAGCTCTGAGTCCCGCACAGCATGTGTGTGAGGATGCAACAGGAAAAATTATGCCAGAAAAATAGCCTGTCACTCTTTCCCAGGAAACTTTTTTTCTATCGATTTCTCACTTTTCTGAATATTTCATTTCTTGTGTCATTATTTTCTCCAATCACTTTTACTATTAAAATTTTAAACATAGAGAAAAGTTGAAAAAATTGTATAATGAGCACCCATTCACTGCTAGATTCTACAATCTTGTCATTTCTTGTTGAACTTAAAATATTATTTCTTGGAGATATTAAATGGTGAATGAATATTTGCTGATTTCCTCCCAGCATGAGTGTTAGATAGTGTTATTTGGAAGAAGAAATTTTAAAAATTATAAATTGAAATAAAGGAGAAACTAATTCATACAAAACAAATGGCACTATCTGAAGCAATTGTGTAAATTTGTTAATACAAAAAAATTTGCATTCTTTGTAATGTAATCAGAAAGAAGCATATAAGGTTTGGAAAACTAAATTTATTATTGACCTTTTAGCTCTTTCAAATTATCTCATTGTTTTAGATGAAAACTAACTATGTAATAGTTTCAACAATTTAGGTAACAGATTGATCTCTTAATAGGTCATCAAGCTTGCTTTGCATTTTGATGGTCAAAAAAATCATGAAAGCAATACTCGACTTACCCCTGGATTTCCAGTTTGTCTAATGGCTAAAGGAGAGAAAGCAGAATCAAGAGTGGATGATACAGCTGGCCTTTCAGAAAAAGAAGCAGAGAAGAACCCCTGTGCATCAGTGGATGAGGAAGAAGGTAAATCCTCAGTACATTTTTCTCAGGGTTGGTTGACTTTTTTTTCCCCAGCATTCCATTGCTAGTATTTCAAGTTGTGTTATATAAATTATATTCTGAATATAAGAAATATTCATTCTTTTTAAATATGTTAGAATATTGGCTTTTATATCACATCATCTATTAAATATGTAAATATAAAATAACGTCATTGAAACAAGTCTTTTTCTATGACCTTACTGCTTTGAAAGTTTATTTGTTGTTGTAAAGGGGACATACTTTCTTCTGTTGGTTCTTATTTTTAGATTTCAATCTTTCTTGCATTCTCACAAGACTGGTAACCAAAAACTGGTGATGAAAGATAAAATATTTTCAGAAAAATGTTGTCAATTAATATAGTTTATTTTATTGGCCTTTGTTTTCAAAGTCTGGTTTAATCAAGCAGTAAATAAGCAAATAAAGTTTTTTGAAGTATTCAATCTGCAAAAATTCCAAATTACAGAATAGATGTGCTATTAGAGATTATTATCCTTTTTATAAAAGGATTGTTGCATTTACCAAAAGATTCACAAGCTTCTTTAACAGGATGTATCCTCTAGCAGTAAATATTGGCATCAGTTAAAATAGTAGTTGATGAATTGGTATTTATTATAATAATGGTAGTAAATAATAGTACTACCAGAATTGTACTAATGCTACAAGCATTACTAGTGATAAGAAGTTTTGTAATAAGTAACTCATCTTTATTTTAGAAATTGTTAAATATTTTAAACATTTTATACAGAAAATAGCATAACAAATACCAGTACCCAGCTTTGCTAATTTTTACTATTTTATTATATTACCTCCCATTTTTTCTTTCAAAAAATAACATTTACCGGTGATTAATGCTCTCTGGGAACTGCTCCCTAATTCTATTCCTAGCCTTCTCAGATTTGTGTTTGATCATTTACATGTATTTCTTAAAACATTTTCTACATATATACAGAATCACTAACAATATATATCTTTTGTTTTTAAACTTTATATAAATGTATCACAACTTGAAGCTGGCTTTACGCATTTTTTATGTTGAAATTTAATAGGTTCAAGGCTTCAATTTTTACATTTTAAATGCAAATATCCAAGGCAGTACTTAGTGTGGATAAAAGGAAGGTAAGAGGTGAGGCATAAAATAAGCCTTAGGCCCTGGCAGTCTGAAAAAGAGCAGAGAGTATCATAAAAGGGGCCCCTTGGGATGCTGAGGTGGTCAAATCACTTGAGCCCAGGTGTTCAAGACCAGCCTGGGCAACATGGCAAAACCCTGTCTCTATAAAAAATACAAAAATTTGCTGGGTGTGGTGGTGCACGCCTGTAGTCCCAGCTGCTTGTGGGGCCGAGGCAGAAGGATCACCTGAGCCCAGGAAGTCGAGGCTACAGTGAGCTGAGATGGTGCCACTGCACTCCAGCCTGGGTGACAAAGTGAGACCCTGTCTCAAAGAAAGTGGGGTTGGGTTCCCAAAGCTCAGACCAGCCAGTGTCAGATTGAGCCTCATTCCAGATTCCTTTGTGGGACAGTTATGTGGAGGATGTTCATGGACACTGTGGGTAATTCTCATTCAGGTGTCTGCAGGAGTATCACTTTTACACCATTCCTGTATGTGGAATTAGATTAGTCAGGCCTTCCAACCTGAGGGCCTGAGATGGCCTTGTTCTGTGAAGACAAATGAACATTAGCATATCATCTGTGTGACCTGGAAATCTAAGACAAAGAAAGGAAGAAAAGGATGAAGCCCTTGCTGATGGTTGAAGATCATCTTCCTAAGAAAACATTAATGATTCATAAAATACCAAAAGGCATGATCATGATTTCATTGGATAAAAACAATAGCAAACCCTTGCTTATTTTGCTTAAATATAAAATTCAAAAGTCGACTGTAAAGCCAGTACATGAGACACTGTAAAATATATATATTTGCAAAGTAAATAGGTTTTTTTTTTTCTTTTTCTTTCCCAGCGTTTTTGGATTAAATATGAAGCTAAATATTCTTATTTTAGAATTTTAACTTTTGGGAAAGTGAGTTTGACTTAACTAATAAAATGTCAGTGTTATTGATGTTTCAAACTAGTGTTAGGATACTGAGCAGATGAGAGGCAATTACTCTCAGATCATTTTCACCACTTCCCAGTTTTTCCTCAGTGTAATGTGGCTGTATTTTCCACGCCTACTGCACAGAGCTATATACTTGACTCTTAGAATAATGCCCCCAGTTCCCCTAAAAGGAGGATAGGTAGCACTCCAGAAAACACGAATACCAGCGTGTTCAAGCTGTGAATACTGTATATCATGAGAGGAAGAATCTATCTGTTTTAGGAAAATGCTTTAAAAAAACGATTATTCATTTGCTCTGCTCTGAGCATGGAGACTGGTTCAAGCCTTACATTCAGACTGCAGAGGCACCTTCTGCTTTTATTCTGTAGAAAAACAGAACACAAAAACCTCTTCAAATACGTGTCTCCACGATGGCTTATATTTATTTATTTTTCTTGGAAGGATATTATTAGCAGTAAATATCCCCATGGGTTTGTTTTCTACTATATCAGGGCTGTGATACAGTATGCTCTTTCTGCCACGGATAGGTTGCTAAGAGATTTAATAATGGGTAAACAAACACAACATGTGGTAATTCATTTCAAATTAAAAGTTTATTAAACTCAGGCTTGATGACTTTCTGGCTATTTACAATTAAAGGAGCAAACCTTAGGGAAGGGGCGAGCACATGGTGTGTTTATGGCTGCAGTGTTTCTATATGAAAAATGTGCTTTATGATCTTTCACAAGCTGTCCACGCTGATAGGCTCCGTACATAATCTGATGAGTCAACTGCTGTCTTCAAATCATGAAAAAGTGACTTGAATGCTTATTTGCAAGCACACGTGTGTGCACATATATGCACACATGTGTGCCCTCACATACTCATACTGCAGTATTCTAGACTTTATTCTATGATTGATGTTTTAAGTGGTAGTCAGCCTTGCAAATAGGTAGATGTTTGAGGCCAGAAATTATTTATGAAAGGCCAGAAGAAGAGACCCATGATATAACTTTTGGGTTATCACCATCTTTTAGGCTGTTTTACTTTTTAGGAGTCAGTTTAGGCAAATATTTCATATGCTTGATAATTTTGGTTTGAATATGCCTACATTGGGTGAGCAATGGTCTCTGGCAGGGTCTCTATCTGTTTCATGATGCCGAATTCAATTCGAAATTTTGTGCGACCACAAGAACAAATCATCCTGCCGAATGCTGTAGAATTAATTATAAATCAAAGCAACACCCAGTCCTTGGCCTTCAAGTTCTTACCTGAGCCCAAGCCTGCACCACCATGAGATACGCATGTGCCACAGATCCAAGAGATGACGAGAAGGGCCACCAGCACTCTATTTACATAAGGGGCCTGCAGGCCTTCTCAGAGAGAATTCAAACTTGGAGAAGAATCGAAGCAGATGCAATTGGTTAAAGAAAGATTCAGTTGTCAGGTGAGAGGGGTGATTGCGGGCAAAGTATGATGTTTGGGAATCACATTTGACCTTTAGCCCAGTCATCTCACAGTGGAATTCCCAGGAGAGGGAGGACTGCTTAGAAACATTCCCCAACCTGCTGGGCAGGGCGCGGTGGCTCAAGCCTGTAATCCCAGAACTTTGGGAGGCCGAGGCAGGTGGATCATGAGGTCAAGAGATTGAGACCATCCTGATCAACATGGTGAAACCCCATCTCTACTAAAAATACAAAAAAATTAGCTGGGCATGGTGGCGCATGCCTGTAATCCCAGCTACTCAGGAGGCTGAGGCAGGAGAATTGCCTGAACCCAGGAGGTGGAAGTTGCGGTGAGCTGAGACCACGCCATTGCACTCCAGCCTGGGTAACAGGAGCAAAACTCCGTCTCAAAAAAAAAAAAAAAAAGAAAAAAGAAACATTCCCCAACCTGCTAAAAGGAGAACCATTTCACTGAAATTCTGTCAGACACAGAACTGCATATTACAGTATATACTCTCCTCTGAGACAATTAGGCATGTTATATACAAATACAGTGGGCTCCCTTTACCCAGGGTTTTAGTTTCTGAGGTTTCAATTACCTGTGGTCAACTGTGGTCCAGAAATAGTATAGTAGAATAAAATATTTTGAGAAAGTGAGAGACCACATTCACGTAACTTTTATTACAGCATACTGTTATAAATGTTGTAAGTTATTATTGGCTATGGTTGTTAATTCTTACTGTGACTAATTTGTAAATTAAACTTTATCATGGGTATGTATGGATAGAAAAAAGTATAGTATATATAGGATTTGGTACTATGTGCAGTTTCAGATATTCTACTGGGGATCCTGGAATATATCCACCATGGGTGAGAGACAACTGTTCTGCTGTGTTCTATGTGTTGCAGCTTTGTAATTCAGGATGTTACAGAGCCACTGTGGGGAAGTATATATGGATGGAAATTAATGGTTCATGGACTCAGGTGAGACAGGCAGGTGTACTACTGGAAATAAGTGAGTGGGCTTTTAAAGTTCATTGAAATTGGTCTGAACTTTTAATATAGCCTTGTTTTTAATCCTGTACTGCTGTGATCTGGGGACATATGTGTTAGTTTCACAGTCTTTTCCTGGGGCTAGAATAATAGTTTGGAGTTCAAAAGGCAAGCCTAGTTGGGAATTCTTTGGGGTAAAAGGAAAGCCACAAGCGAAGTTAAGAAGTCAGAGAGTATAAGGTATGTTTGAGGGACTATAAGGAACCATTGGGCTCCAGTATACACATTGGGATGGATTTGGACAAGGATCATTTTACGGCAGGAAATCCAGTAAGAAGGACATAACATTATAGTAGAATGATTTATAATCCTTTGGATATATACCCAGTAGTGGGATTGCTGGGTCAAATGGAATTTCTATTTCTAGGTCCTTGAGGAATCGCCACACTGTCTTCCGCAATGGCTGAACTAATTTACACTCCCACCAACAGTGTAAAAGTGTTCCTATTTCTCCACATCCTCTCCAGCATCTGTTGTCT